AGGAGAACTATTGGGTAAATAAAATATACTCTTCCCGTTACTTAGAACTGGTGTGGGACACTGCAGCTGTCACATGCTGGATCTATATACTGAGTAAGAAGGGTCTAGTTTTACAGCTCTTTTAATAGGATTTCCCCTCACTTCCTGTCAGGACAATGGGAAATCTTTCCAGCAGGAACACAAACAAAAACACATTTTAGCAGATGGGAACTTCTGAGGGTTAGGACTTCTGAGGGGTTAGAACTTCAGATTACTTTTTTATTGCTGTCCATGCTTTCCTGTCCAGAACAACCATGTCCCCCATTTTGAATGGGCATCACAGAGGCCAGAAGTTAGCTAAACTCTCTGCAGTTGGGGGTCACAGACAAAAATAAAAACTTGACACAAATTCTATGGCCCCTTTCAGACGAACGTGTCAGGAGAGGATCCATCAACAGATCCTCTCCTGATCACAGCAGTACGGAGCAGATGTCACAGCTGTGACATCCGTGTCCGTACAGTTTTTTTCTCCAAACTGAAACTGCCATACACCATGTGTGTCTATGGGGAGTTGTATGTAAACAGACGTTTACATCAGATTACTCCCAGTCTGTCATGATCCGGTCTGTCGAAATGGATCCCTGATCCATTTGTCTTTCCGGACCTAGCCAGAGTCGGGGCTAACCAGGTGTAAATGGACGCTCATGTGTTTACACATGGCTGCCCATGGACTTGCATAGAGCATCTGATCAGGTCCGGCTGAAAAACTGACAGGTGGACCCGATCAGAACGCTCATGTGAAAGGGGCCTAACCCTCTCTCCCTCTATGCAAAACTAATACAAATGGATTAGTAAAGTGGTGTGTACTGTGCTCAGTAAGCCCCCACAAAAAGGGAGCCCTGGCATGCATCCTCAGAGTGACATCACTACCCTGGTGCAAAACGTAGCAACTTAATGTACTACTTTCTTTTCAGATCACTAATTCCTTAGGGGGATGGGGATTTGTATCCTATAAGCCCCAGTGGCCCTAAAGTAAACCTTTTCAGAAAAAATGGGGGCTGCTAGTGATGACCTGCTTCTGAAAATTCTAGTTAACTGGATGTTATTCTGACCCTATGGCTTTATTACTTTTCGATTAACTGGAACAGGTATTCATATCAGTAGAAAAAAAACAAAAATGATAGTTGTTCTGGGTTAGTGACTCAAAGGGGGTGATTTGCTAACCTAAACACACGCACGCACTAGGTGCGTGTGATTTTTACACAGCAAAACATATTTATCAACCAAAAAGTCTCTAAAAGCATATTTGCACTAATGCCATATATGGAAAAATCATGCACATGATGCATATATAATGCTGCTTCACAGTTTAGACAAAAATGGTTAGCTCATGCATTTACATTCCTGCATTCATCAACACAAGCAACACAATGTAGAGCTAATTTACACAACATCACCTTGCAATTCATGCAGGGCTTTGCACAACACACTTGCTGGGTGTGTACACACTACAAAGGTGTCTAGATTCCACCAATAGATCATGCTGGGAGGGAACACACTACAGAGGTGTATACTTGTTTGTGGCTTGTTTATAAGGTTAGTAAATCAACCCCAAAGTATTGAAGATACATTACAGCTGAAAACTAACATTGTAGAATAAGAAGTCAGCAATGGTAGACTACAATTATCTCTGAGAAATCCTTAACAGATCACCTAGATCTTCCCCAGGGGTTGGTAGGGTGTGGAGTATATAGGTCTTTTATATTCTGTTCACCTTAATCCTCAAGTGTGAATTCTCATAAAAATTATTAATGTGTATAAACACTGAGGATATTATGTATATCTGTAATTATAAAACTTCACTGACAACATTGTTGTACCCATGAGCAAACTAGACGTATGGTAACAAAGTCTTTATATTTAGTTTTGGGGTAACTATTTGTAATTATATTTGTTCGGTATTGTAAACTATTTTTCTTCAATTCCGCATAAAAAGTTGCTTACATAGACAAGACACTTAGGGGTCTATTTATAAACAATTTGCAGGACCCCTTACCCTGTCAATATCTGTGAACGTTCATTTTGGAGGAATAATGCCAAAATGGAATGTTCTTAATATATATTTCATCCCAGATTGAATGCAGTGTGTTCTAATAATACATTCTGGTCACTGTATAGAGCTATGGAGCTGAGGATCATAGGAAATAAATATTTATTCTCATAGGGTTTGATGAGTTAGCTAGTGCTACATACAGAGGCCAACAGGTGATAGCCAAAAAGAATGTTTGAGTTTCCTAATCATATGATCAAGAGTACAAACATCGGATGTACTGTAGAGACAACATTAGGAGAATTCTGCTAGGCCTATGTGTGATTTAACAATTATGCGTGGCATCACTGTTACTTTCTCTTCCATCAGTGTTGCAGCCTCGATAATTACCAACTAACCTGCATTTGTCGTTTTGTCAAGCAAGCACAATAAAGCCAATATATCTTTTTTACACATACTAATTGTCAATTTTAGTATACAGTGTAAACATAAAAACTGTTCTACTTCCACCTCCATAAGTATTCAATTTACTCTCTATGGTTCAACACCCACAAAGTAACTTAGAAAGCCTCCAAAGCAAAACCTATTTTTCCCAATGGTATTTGTTCAGGGCACATTTCTAGACTTGTGAGTATTAAGAAAATGTGACCTGTGGCAAACAAAAAATGCATTTTCTGGATCCTCCCTCAAAGAAATGTGTTAAACTCAATAAAAGCTTTAAATTGTTAAGTTTGTAATAAATGGCAGATATACAGTCTATTGTGATGACAAACAACTTTCCCATTCTTTTTACACAGTTTGGGGGGCATCAGACCACATTGTCACATATATTATAGTGTTTATTTAATAAGGAGAATAGACAGTGGCTTGGTTTAAAAAAAGAAATTAAATCTCTATTGACATCAAAACTGAATCTAGGTGTGTACATTCCTCTTTTACTTCACATTTTTAAAAGCAACAGAATCATTTTTAAGCAGCTTTTTATGATTACTTTGTATACAACAAATAAAAAAAATGGGAACCTATTTGAATACTGCAAAATCTGCAAGCAAATACCTTGAAAATGGTGGCATCTTAAGGGTTATTAAAAAAATATATACAATGTATTTAGCTATTAAGGCCACAACGATTAAATAGGAATGGACAACTCAAATGTTTTTCATTGCTTGAATGTAACCAAGCAAAGTGATCAGTGAACATTACTAATTAGAATGTCTAGAATAAACAAAGCATTGGACCAAAGGCACTAAAAACAGGCGAACACCCTTATTTTATTAATCTAATGCATCATGTATAATATCATTACAGTTTCTTGTATATATCATTAATTTTATTCCTTTCATTTAAGTCTTTTATTGGGATTACTTCAGTTATTAGTTGGTCTAATGTATTGGTTACCTCTAAATCTCGCTTTGCAATCTCTTCTTATCTTGTTGCATAAACCCCTTGCATGTTATTCAAAATGCTTCATTTATTATGATAGCTTCCCCATGTAAATTGTGCTGACTGCTCGCCCTTGCACAGTCCTCATTAGACTAATGAAAACCTTCAAACGAAAAAACTAAACAACCTGCCAAATAAAGGTCTGAGGTTATTATGAAAATTACAACTCTGGGAGCTGGGAGAAGCTCTGTTCATTAATTCATGCTCAGCAAATTGCTAACTAATTTAGTTGCACTCCTCTGCATTAATGGATTATTTTATAAAAATGTTTTCCACAGCTCAAGACCTTTGGTGCATGCTTTTGAGAGGCTAGAATTCTAATCAACCTTAGCAGTACATTAGGAATTTAATATCTAAATAATAATTGGGATGGCATATGGAGGAAAATAGTGTTTAAAATCCCATGAAAGGTAGTTGTAGTTTTCAGCTTCATCTGTCATTTTCACAATAGTTAAAACAATTGTGCTCCTTTAATATTCTACCACTGTAACAGATGACACTCGGTATAATGACAATATTAAGAATGGAGGAGTTATCTTAAAAACTGCCAAGCTCAGAAAGCATTAATGAAACTGTGTAGAGTGACATATGAAAGATACTGTACAGTACTCTGTTACTCATTTGCTTGGCAATGAAATGAGTAAAGATGTTTATCACTGGATTAAAAAAATATAAACTGATTAAAAAACTGCTCCAGCTATTTGAGTGAACAGCTCTATGTCAGAATTTCCTACCCTGATGACTAGGGTTCTATAACGGTAGAGCATAAAATCATGTGCCCCTCTCCTACACACAAACACACACACATCCTGCAAGTTAGTTATATATTCACTTCATCTACTCTCTTTTTTCCCCCTAGTCAGTTTGCAGACAGGATAATCAGCAGGTGGAAGCCCAAATATTTAGCTGCCCAAAAAAGTTGCCTAAGGGTCGGTTCACACCACAAAGTCTGCTTTCCAGTGTGTTCGGCCTCTGAATGGTTTATTTAGGTAAATAAAACTTACTTTCTTTCTATGATGAAGTATTGTTTTTAGATCTAATATGGATCCTTTGGGGGGCGTGGCTTGGCGCATGGAGCGGTGAGACGTGTATCGGCTCGTCTCCCGCTCTGGGGCATATCTTACTGCAGGCAGCAGCGGCTTTCTCCCCCACGATCACCGGCAATGAGCGACCAGAGGAAGAAGAGTAAGAAGCAGGCTAAGAAGGGGCCTGTGCCGCGGGAATTGACCCGATATTTCGCCCGGACGGTGCCCGCGGCCTCTCACGCTGCCTCCACACGTGCAGCCAAGAGATCCTTTGGAATATAACTTACTTCTTGTTTAATATGGTCCAAATCTCAGACCACTATTTTACTTCAGGTATAGGTCCTGCAGCTAAAATGTAGCATTCTAAAACAAAATCAACTGACAGTTTTGCAGTTAATATTATATAGATTAAAACAGTTTAGACCACATTTCCTTTTTTTCTCACAGGAAGTTGATAGAACAATTTTTTTTGTAACTACAGGTGTACATTAAACCATTCTAACCTTTTTCCAAATGTATCCTTTTTGCTTCATGCCCAGCTTCATGGCCAGCAAGATCACCTTCTTTTGGACCCGGTAAAATATTTGGCGACAATCCCATCAACAACTGGTTCATTGATAAGCCATTTTGATGGATAGCTGATTAAAAGACAGAAACATTTGTGATAGTTTTTTTTTTCTACATATTATCATGGTAAATAATAAACAGTTTTACTATACCAAACAGAGTATTTTAAAGCCGTTTGAATAAAAGAGTTAGCAATAAAATGTGGCACACTATGCCAATATGATTCTTACTTTGGCCTCCTGTGTAACAGGAACTCACAAATTATTGAAGAAAAGTGGCAAATAAGGGCTAATTTAGTAAAGGAATAGTGGATGTTCACTCAAAGTGAATTCTTGTTGATAAGGTGAACCTGTGTTGACTTTGAGTAGTCAGTCATGCACTAGCAAAAATCAATTTTTTTAATTTCCCTTGCACATGATTGGATATTCAAAGTGTGAACAGGTTTACTTTTTTTTTACCAGGTTTCACTTTGCTACGTGATCAGCCTTTATTCATTTGGTAAATCAACCTCACATCATTTTCAATTGACATGCAGTTTTAGGTTTTTGAGAGTAAACTATTAAGATAAAATGTTGGTTAAGGTAAAATGTTGTAATTGATAAAATATAGAACATACGGATTCTGTCTGAGGAACTTTCAGTCCTTGCTGGGGAGCTAGAAACACTGCTACTTCTGTGAGATGAAGGATGACTTCCAGGTCTTCGCCCATCTTCAAGGGAGGGTGCAGGGGAAGGGCTATCTGGAACTCTTTCCTGTTGGAAACAGTAACAAAAGAAAAAAAGATTAGAAAACATTTGTAACATAGATATTTTTAGAATGCTAAATGGGTGCAAACATTTAGTAGTATTGGTAATATTCCTTGATCAATCCAAAGCTTTATTTTAGGTATATAAGGTCAAGCAACAGTGCACATAAGGTTCTTTAAGATCTCAGACACAAGGTCAAACAATGCAGACAAGCTTTTATAATTCAATTAACTATTTCACTGCTGCTTCTGTGTTCTGAATACAACCAAGTGAACACAAGCTCAACCCAAAAGGTACCTGTGTTCTAGCATGTGAAAGATGAGTGGCATGAATGTAATTGTTAGGATCATGTCAAATGCTCCTATCCCTGTCGCAACCACTCAGCTCCATCTGGTGGTTGCCTCTTGTAATTGCACCTACCATAGTCCAGTTAGCTACAGGCTAATCAGCCTGGTTACACGCCCCTTACAGCCTGGGCAATGGTTAGTTGTGCTCTATTTAAGCATCACAAACCCAGAGCTCTGGGCTTGTGATAGCTCCTGTCTTGTCTTGTTCTGTCTACACTAGCCTATATCCTGATCCTGAATCCCAGTCCTGCCTTGATCTTGTAACCTAGTCTTACCTTGGCTCTTTAATCCTATACCTAACTTGTTTGCTGTATCCTGTATTTATCTTCTATTAGTTCCTCTCTTGTATTTGTTTCCTGTTCCTGTCTTGTGTCTTGCTTTCTCTTTGTCTTGCACCTTGACATCAGTCAGTACTGATCCTTTGTTCCTGGGGGCCAGCCTGTGGCATCACCTGATCACAGCAAATAGTTTAAGTCCTGGGGGCATCCAAGTACAGTTAGGCATGCTTGCCTTATGGGAACGGCAGCTGCTAAAGGTGAAACAACTCGTCACTATTGGCTCTGACAGTGGTGCATCCACAGCTGGTCCTGACAGTCATTGTGTGACTAATGACACCATTTCAAAAGCGAAAACATCCCTTACTCTACATTTAGGAGATGTCTTGGGATCTGGGGGTGACCAGAAGTATTTGAATGTGCATATTCCCCCTTTACAGTTTCAGGCACAGATAGAATGCTAAAAGCAGATGCCTAGGTTATAAAATGTAAACCAGCATTCAAAGGCCCAGGAAAGAATGTATTATTTGTATTTTTTTTGTATAAATGGCTTTGTATTTTGGGTCCTTGGCCACTCTGTTGTGCAAATACTGAAAAAGCTGCCACGTCATGGGCTCTGGCCTGTGTCTCCTGAGTCTCACTTTAGGCCCTGGGATAGACTAACTAATAGGGGTTAAAATGCAGTCCACTAGATAATGCAAGTGTTCATTTCTGTACTATTTAGTGCTTAAAGGTACACTCAGGTATACGTGTGTTTCAGAAAAAGGTATTACTAAGGAAAGGGTGGGTTGCTCAAAAGTATAAAACTTGTCTAGCAAATGGGAAAAGCAAGTTCTGAGGAATTCTGATTTGAGTCATAACACCAGAGGGTAAGTTGATCGGTCATTTGACCAACAGAAACTTCACTTTGTGGGTCCTAATGTCAGTAAAGAATGAATTCCTGTACATGGAAATCCTGCTGACATAGCAACCTAATGCAGAGCCAATGCAGCCCCTGGGTACCCAGAACTGCAGCACTTGCAGGGCATGCTGTTTCTAAATAATAACTAGGTTTTTATACTTTTGGACACCCTAACTCTGTCTTCATGCTGCCTCACTAGCTTTCTAAAGCAGAACATTATTTTAGTTTGGATATACTTAAAAAACTTCTGTCAGACGTAAGGGGAACCTTCCAATGTGGACAGCTGCAATATTTACAACTGTTTAACAGGAAATTTCCTGGCAATGTAATTTTTTAAACATAATTGTCTGTTTTCCACTGGTGTATGTTTAAAAAGAAAATATTAAATGCGTGATTATAGCACAGGTTGTATCTTTAGGTATTGTAAGACTAAACAAACGTGGATCCCTTTGGCATAACAGGTTAATTTCTTGTAAGTTTATAATTAGCTAATGCTTTACTAAAATGCAGTTTGCCTCACAGTTAATTTGTGTTCTATATTATCACTCCCTCTGTCACCTGCTTCTCTGTATATGTGTGGCAAAGATTTGTGCACACACCTTTTCATTTTGTGCTGTGCAGTAACAAAGAATATTGAAAAATGCATGAAAATATCCTCGTCCATGTCTTCAGCATGTACAATACAGGTCATGACAATCATACATAGAGTGATTCATGACTGTCAAGATCTTCTATCCCAGCCTGTTACAGCTCCTCTGCCATTCACCCATCTCATATATCTAAACATTCTATTACAAAAGGACATCTAATGCTCATCTCATTTCAGAAAGGGCAGATTAAAAAAAAATATTTCAGCATGAGGCCAAGGCAGCTACATAATACATCCCATAAAACCATGTATAGTCCTCGAAATGTAATTTCACACAAGTTGACCTAAGGTATTGCTTTCTTAGTATCCTTTAAAGCTATTTATAATGATTTTAATCTGAATACTATTTTCTGTTTCCAAAAAAAGGTGATCGTTGCATTCAGCATTTGCATGTAAGCAACCTATTTCACAATTACCTAGGCATACACAATGCTTTCGAGTGCATCAAAAACCTTTTAAACTGCATAACAACAGGTGAACCAAATTGACACACAGAGGCAATTCTTAAAATATGTGTCTCGATGTAAATAAGGCACAGTTGACAGTCAGATAAGTAGCAATTGCTAGTTCAGCTCATTTATAGCATTGTCAGGGTACTAGGGGGCTTACCTCTCCTCGGGGTGGCCATGTGCGGCGGGGGGCACGGGTTCCCCTTCCTGGCAGGACCCCTGGTACTAGGATTGTGGGTACGCATTCGCGACAAGTGCGCGGTGGACAGGCTGCGCGCGCAGGCACGGGGACATGCACGTAGTGCACCTGTTACTGGTGTCAGGTGTGATCCTTGCTGGGGGAGGTTCCCAGCACACACCCTCTGCCCCTCTCTCGCCATTGGCTCCTGATGGAGAGGCTACCTGGTTGCCTCGGTAGCCGGGGAGTGGTCTCAATCCTCCACTGAGTATAAAAGCCCAGTCAGAGCCCTGGCTCATTGCTGAGTTATTCTATCCCTATGGTGTGATCTCCCAGCTCCCTGTGCCTTGAACCTGTCTTTATTCCTGAACCTCTGCTTGGACTCTTGATTACTGACCCTTTGGCTTACCCTTCCGTTACTGAAACTAGCTGCCTGCCTCGACCCGGATTGGACCTGACTATTCTTCTTGGATTTTCCCTGTGTACCACGACCTCGGACTTTGGCTTGCCGCCCCTGCCAAGGGGTTCCACTCACGGCCCAGCCGTACCCCCCTGACAAGCATAGACACTTAACTAAGAGATTTGGTGTAAATTAATATCCAGCAAATATGCCCAGGTAGACCATTTTCCATTCCGGTCAATTTTTGAAAAGTGGGAGCTTACGCAGATCTATTTTTCTCTCATCCCAATAGTTGTGTTAAGTAGTTGTAAAGGAATATATCTAAAATGGCTACCCTGAAGCTGCAAAATAGCAGTGATGCAGTATTTGCCCATCTTTGCCTCCATGAACAGTTCTCTCTAGTGTTGAATAAAATTGTATATTAAATGGAATTATACCATTTATTAGCAGCCTATGTAAATAAACTATAAAGTTAATTTGAAAAAAATCTAGATACTGATGAGAAGAGTACCTCAAGTACTCTCTTGGCCAATTCTCTAACAGGGTTATGTGATCGCAAAGAGGAGGTGACAGGTCCTCTTTATGGAGACATCAGGGGTCTCCAAGACCCCTCATGTCACCTAGGACCCCCCAAAGAAGCTGATGAAGCAGAAATCTGCTTCATCAGCTTCTCTCCAGTGTCTGAAGCTAGAGAGTGACACAATAATGCAGAAGTTCCGCATTCTGACAGCGGAGAGGGGAACGGAGGGAGATTGTGTACCGATCTCCCTCTGATCCCCTGTTACAGAGGCACTATGCTGGTACCGGGCTCTCACCGGGCACAGCAGAGCCCTGGGGCCAGCGTGACAGCAGGAGGGGGGGGCATGGACGAGGGGGGACACTACGACACACGGAACGGCAGCTTATACATGTATGTTCACAGGCATCCCTGCCTGTTTCTAAATCTCAGTCGTTTCCTGCGCGTGCGAGTGGGTGGGGCTAACAGGCCGTATATACACGGCCTGTTACATCCAGGAAGCTAATGTCCGGCCGTTTGTCTATAACGGCCAGCCGGGAGGCGGTTAAAGCAGCAGTTTAGGAAAAACTGTGGGCAAATTAACCATTGCAGTTGGGCTACCCCCACACTGCTCATTTTGGTCTAGGCTTAACTGCTCATTTTGGTCTACAGTCTAAAATAAAAAACAGATATACTCACCCAATCCTTGATCCCTCCTGGCTGTTAGACTGGTCCATACAGCCTTGTCTCCCCTGGGCTCTGGTGGTCTAAGCCCTGCTGACCTACTCTTGCTTATTACAAGTCCATTGACTTGCACTGGATGTGAGGATGCCAGGGGACATACCATAGGTGGAATGGAGGGAAAATGAATGGCCACTGCAGCAGGATCAAGGATTGGGTGTGTATCTTTTTATTTTTTATTTTAGACCCTAGACCAAAAAGAGCAGTTAACACTTGTAGTGCAAGGGTAGCCCCACTGCAAGGGTTAATTTGTAATTTGCCCAGAGTTCTTCTTTCAGTGTGGTTTCTGCATTACACAGTGTTGGATCAGCTCACAGAAAATGTAGAGCTTGGTACACTTAATAACATCCAACCTGTCATTATTAAAAGTATTATCATTTTTTGTCTGACTCTAGAAAGTGCAAAGCCTTTCCTTGCCTGGACTGCTAACTTGTAAATGTGTATGAGACACAATTATTTCCCTATGTAATCAACATTCTGGTATGTAAATACAAAGCATTCGCATTTGTGGGTAATACTTTTCTGAAAAACACACGCCATTTAAGCACATAACTGAAAAATAATACAATCATTTTCTTAGGTTTGTTCTTAAACAGGGAACTCAAGAACACTACATGCACAATACTTTCTTCTGTGGAGCAAAAAATACTGGCCTGCAGATGCAAGGCTCTTTAGCACAGCTAATAAATTCATGAGGAAGTAAGGCACTTTTTTTTACTCCTCAAGAAACAACAAAAAACAGCATTACTTTCTTATTCAGAAGTGTGGTTGGATTTTAAATTAAAGGGTAGGTTCACCTTTACAATAAAATCTCCCATTTATGTAAGTATTCCTGGTACATAAAAAAAAACCACTGCTTAGATTTTGAAAACAAAGCTTATATGCAATGTCATACCTGGAGGCCGCACGTCAGATGTTGGAAGTGCTCCCCAGCATCACAGGAATGAGCGCTCTGGCTCATTCAAAACCCATGCGTGCAAAGTGCACTCTGTTTGCCTCTGTTGCAGCAGATTTTGAGCTCAGTGGTGTGCGACAGGAGAGGGAGTACACTGGGCATGTGCAGGTTTTGAATGACCCAAAGCGCTTATTCCTTTATTGCTGAGGTGCACTTCCAATGCCCTGCAATCTAAGCAGGGGGAAGGGGTGTTTCAGACAGGCTTGGGAGAGACCATGCATGGCTTACAGGTAAACACACATATTGCACTATGACAAGTTTTGTACCAGTGCAAAAAAAGCATATCAATTATTAATATCCAGTTATTTTAAATCAATCATAAAAGTTGGATTTTTTCCACTGCTAATTCATTCCACAATGAATGGTTTGCATGGGACATAAAGTAAAAATCAATACTCTCTCTAGCACAGCCACAAACATTATCACCTTATTTCTCAGGTTTAATTTTCCTGTGTTTGGGCTGCAAATGTTGTGTTTCAAACATTACAATAAACAAAGTACAGTCTTAGAGTAGTATTTTTGCCTTTAAAAAAAATGAATGCACAAAAAAAGTATGGCATTTGTAGAGTCCAGCCCATGTATTGGATACCACATTCCCTTCATCTAATGAAACAATTAAAACAAATCAATATGCACTCTCAAGAAGAATATTCTGTCCTTAAACACGGCATAAACCTCATCTATCACTTTAACAGAAGATAAACACTTAGCTCCACTTTGGCATGATCCAGCTACTTACAACTAGCTTTCCCATTCTTCATACAATTAAAAGTACCAATAGTGATTACACTGACTGGTATATGTTTATTTAAAGTCTTGTTACCTGTTATTGTTTGTTATGCTATACGTTTTTATTTTTGATTTGTTTGTAGTTTGCTCTTGTTCAATACAGGACTTAAAAATAGTTAACTGATATAGCTCCCAATCTAAATTAATCTTAGAAGATCATTATATGCAATAATGTTCTGCTATACAAGCTGGGTCTTTATATACATGCTTCTCCTGTAATTAATATTTACCTCATATATACTGGCACTCAGGGATGCTGTATCTTGTTACACTTATTTATGACATTAGTACTCTAACTCCTGTGTTGCTTCCTGCACTATAATATGTGACATTTTCAATAACAACTGATTGAAAGATAAAAGTACCAAGAATGGGAAATTATATTGTCACCATTCTAACTGTTCTAAAATGTTCCTATTTTGGATAATTACCACAGGTCAATATACATTGAGGGGAATTTATTATAACTGGATCAGACAAAATTTGGAACAGTTGTCCAGGACAACCAATCAGCTTCTCTCTTCAGCTTGTTCAGTTAAGATTTGAAATGAAAGAGAGAAGCTGATTGGTTGCTGTGCACAGCTGTTCCAGTTTTGATCAATTGCCCTCTTTATGTTCAAAATACATTTCATTATTTTAAACTTCAAACAGATTTATGTCAAAAAACTTTTTTTCAGGCATTGCAATATTTTTATATTTAGTATTAATATTAATAGTGAAAAAGGTAACATCTGTCTAAAACAAGATCTTCACCTTCTGGTTGAGTACAGACAACAGTAGAACAGTTTCTTATAAAATGAACAAAGTTTTACGATACTTTTTACAATAATTTAAAATAGCCAATAGGAGGCTGGCTATTGCTCCCAGCCACTGCATGCTGTATTTACATTCAGCTGCCTCAGCTAGTGAAGTGGAAAGGTGGCACTAGGGGGTCCAATAGGCCCCTTAATGTCACGTTAAAGAGAACCTGTTATCTCAAATGTGCTATCACAAAGGGGGATTGTGAGCCCCCATGTGATAGCAATGAAGTTAGATAAAATTAAAATGACACCCAAAAAAGTCCCCCGACCCCGCAAAAACGCGCATACTAACGGAAACATACGTGCAATTGCAAAAAATGTGCATACCGTTTTATTCTAAGTAAACTTTGTCTGTAACACTCCATTTGTGTATTTCATTTTAAATAAAAGATGGGTTTTTTTTCATGAAAATGATCGATAGTTGCAGCCCTAGTTTTTACAGGATGATAATGATAAGGAATATGCAATATTAACTAATATCCATGTTCTAGTCAGACATGTAGTCAGACATGTTGAAAAAAACTGACCAAGGGTGACAAGGATTCAGAAGTTTAAAAATTATTAAAGTGATATTAAAGTAAAATGGTTTTAAACCTATTTCAAATGCTAAATAAATCATTACAATGAATGCTGCCTCTTGATGTTTAAAAGCTTTAGTTCCCTCCCGTTGGGAGCATTTATGAATTATCGCTGCCAAAAATGCGATACTGACAAACAATACTCGCTCACCCTTCCTTAACATCCCTGAAAGGCCTCCTTCACAAACTGATTATGCTAGATAAGCTTGATGCCCAGTCTAACCACAATCAAACATGATCTATCTCTGCAAGTGGCCGGAGCCGTCATCTCACGCCCAGCTGTCAGTAGCAGGCTGTCGCCCGGCCAATGGCCGGCCGTTCGACCAGCTTCGGCTTTTACCTCTGCTCCGTCGAGACGAGGCATATGCCTTCGGCTCGACTGGGCCGCTCGACCAACTGCGGAAGCTGTAGAGGCTATAGTGAATAGCCCGTACAGCAGCCCCTCGGTTCTACTGAACTGAAGGGGTCCTGGAGCCGAAGCTAGATCCTTCGGCAGCTTTGTAAATAGACCCCTTCGTTTTTTTTCTGCAGAATCAGCTGGACCCGTGAGCATTGGCCCTGATATTCTGTTTTAGTGTGGCTCTTTTCCCTTGCAGTGTCCCATGGAGCAACCCTTGTGTGTGCTGGTGTGCTGTGGTGTGCAGGTAGGTACCATCACAGATGAATTGCATATGCTGCATATGGGAGCTGTGTCTTTGGACAATTTCTTTTTTGGCTTTAGGACAGGGTAATGGAAAATACAGAACAGGCTGGAATGGATGCAACATGCAGACTGCCAAAAGTTTTTTTTTCTTCACATCAAGCAAATCGTCCCAGTCCAACAAAAAAGCCTTACCAATTAACTTTTCAATGAATTCAAATTAATTCATGAAATCATGTGCTACATTCAATAGCAATAACATTAAAAGTATGATCAAGAGATACATATATTTTTGCAATGTAAAATACCTTAATTACTGAAGTTTCAACCCTGCATGGTGGACTTTGTACTTGTGCGGCTGCAGCCATGTTTGCTATTGTACTGAGGTGGTTCATCTGGCTCATTGCCATGGTAACAGAAGCTGGAGGTAGGCTTACAGGGATAAGAGGGTGAGGCATCATCATAAATGGAAGTTCCAAACCTGCAAAATAAAAAAATGCATTTGAGTCCATAATACATATTCATTAATCAAATTTACCGAGAGGTAACTTTTTTACAATTAGGAATTTATAAAGGCGTGTTTGTCCGGAGTTCCACTTTAATATGTAATACTTGTAATTTTTTGTGTGAGTATGAATTTAATTTTATTCTACTACAGAATATACATGAACCATTTATACACCATATTTCAAATTAAAATGTTTCAAACAAAGGTAATACTTTAAGGCTGGGTTCACACCTGGGCGTATTTTTTCTGCTCGTTTTTGTCGCGTTTTTTAGCACGTTTTTCCGTTAAGTGAAACGCGCGTTACACTGGGTGTATGATTTTTTTTTTGTTTTTTCCTTATTTTCTCTATTTTGAAATTATTTTTTTTCACTTTCAAACTTCCCACCGGCCCCACCCCCCTGCGACGCGGCCGCTCCCAAGGGACGGAACCCGGAAGTCGGCAGCCGCCAGAGGACAAAGCGGGGATCGCGGACTAGGTAAGACCTGTACGCTGTATTCCCGAGTGTGGCTCGGGGTTACCGCTTTGTTAACCCTGATCCACACCCGGGAATGCCAAGGGAAACACGCGGAAAAACGCCCAAAAGAAGCTCCTGTACTTCTTTCGGCGTAGGGCTTTTTTCAGCGTATTCCTATGCCCTGAAATACGCCCAGGCGGGAACCATGCCCATAGGAAAGTATGGTATTTCACTTGTTGGGAGTTTTACAGCGCGTCAATCAGCGATGTAAAACGCCCAGGTGTGAACCAGGCCTTAAGGTGTAATACAAGAAGCACTGGCGGAACTACCAGGGTCGCAGCGGTCGCACTTGCGACCGGGACCAGGTGTTCCGCCAGTTCG